GCAGACCAGTTTAAATCAGAACGAATAATTACGTTTGAATTGCTTAAAACAGATTCCATATAACTTAAAAGGTCCCGCCGATCAGTAATGAATAGATTATGAGAAAGATGCAAAAAAAATAAATTAAACAATGAATTGTATCATAAAATTATCAACAGAAATGCACTTATCAAATCGCAAATTTATTAGTTCATAGGATGATATGGGTTTTTGCTCATTATTGAAAATCGCGATTTGACCTATAGTTGTTAACGTCTATATTATTTGTGTCTGGTGGAGAGTTGTCTCATTGGCAATCATACCACATATTCTTATTTTTATATTTTTATATAGAAGAGGTTAGGCCTGAAAGAAGAGCAATTGCTTTGGGATTACTCCATTTCTGTCAAGAATACACTCACCCCACTAATCTTAACAAAGGCAGCAATGCTTGCATCTTAACAGTATCACTTAAAAAGTAAGTCCTACAGTGTGAAACAGGACAAAACTAATAAAATAAGAATACCACTAATGTGAAGGGATATCGATGGGCGTGTGGTTGAAAAACAACAGGCAAACCATAATTTCAAGTCATTAGAGGACTCAATCTGACATCATACCCTCTCCTCTTTTTGACCCGAATGTCCGGATCATTAAATTTATATTCTCCAGAAATTCGGGTCTTTCGAATTTTACCGAGTTCGGTGTTAAAATATATTCTAATCTCTGAAAGTGAAGGATCATGGGAAATCATAAAACCCATTTTTAAAAAAGCAGTAGGTCATCGCCTACATCGGATGGAATTGTGACTTTTTTATTATCACTTTAGGAAATTTCTGGAAATATTTTGCACCAACAAGCACACGAAAGGTAAGAATATGTATATATGATGTTTATATGTATTATTGTCTAGCCGGCATTGAAGATTTCATGGCAACATTAAGTCTGAAAGTTGAGAGAGAAATTCTCAAAAAACCAACCGACAAAAATCACTCCGACGTTATGACGAAGTAGGAAGGCGTACAGCAAAAAATTTAAAAAAAAATACTTTCAAGACGTCATATTTATTTCGACCAGACTATTGGGGATAGCCAGTACTATTATGAAAGGTGTTCCTTTCTGTTTCGTTCTAGGGTGGAATGACGTCTCCTTCTGGACGGTTTACTTTATGTGTCCATGTAATACATACATGTTTTGATTTTTTTTCTTCGATTTTTTCCAGAAATTAAGAGATATTATTTATAGTAATATTTACAATTAAATTGATGGTACTACTCATTTACTATGCCATGTCTTTAATTTTGACAAAACTTAATTAAATAAATTTTAACTGCAACTTTGGAACACAATTCTTTTTTAAAAGGTTATCACGGATTGCTATGGAAGTTCTATAATATTAAATTCTTGGTGTTACAATATATAGGTGTCATTCTAAAATGTATTAAGCTGCTTCATATACAAATAAAGGCAACAGTAGTATACCGCTGTTCAAAAGTCATAAATCGATTGAGAGAAAACAAATCCGGGTTACAAAATAAAACCGAGGGAAACACATCAACTATAAAAGGAAAACAACGGAACAACAGAAACACTGAACTGCAACAAAAACAAACGCCAACATACATAGAAACGGACTATTTGATATCAACTGCCATATTCCTAAATTGGTACAGGACATTGTAAGAAAAATCGTGGGTTGAACCTGGTTTTATAGCTAGCCAAACATCCCGCGTATATGACAATCTTAAAAAAATATCGCTTAAATGACAACACTACGTGACAGTAAGACAGTACAAACAAATGCAAGATCATAAATAAATAATATATATAATATATAAAAAAAGATGTTCACTGCGCTAATAACTAAACTAGACTGACACCCTAATAAATGTATATCAGGCTTAAGTAACCATAAAATCTATCTGAAACATTCAATTTTAGATATTTTAATAATGGCCGAAAGTTCTAGTATTTCATATGTACATAATGCAATGTGAACATGATCATGTATAAAATAATTCATTTAATTGAAAACTAAATTTATTACATGATAGTTTTTTAATCAGACCAGAAAATACTTCCCTTGATCTTATTGTTTTTATTTTAAATTTAGAGGTGATATATATTGTATATACATATGTTTACCGGATAAGTGTTGATGAATATGGTGTTGATGATTATATTAAGTTTACTGTGAAATTATGGTTTCAATGCTATATTAGGTACATTTTGGATTTTAAATTGTTGTTCAAGTTTCTAGCCAAGAGACATAACTTTAAAAAAAGTTCCTAAATTGATGAAATAGAATAGATAGATACAGAAATAGGTCTAGGTTAGTTAAGACTTGGTCGAGTATGGTTCAGAATAGGTCGAGTATGGTTAAGACTAGGTCGAGCATGGTTCAGCCTTGGTCAAGAATTGTTAAGACTTTGTCGAATATGGTTCAGACACTTATAAAATGGTTAAGTACTGGTCAAGTAAAGGTCAAGTACAAGTTCAACCTGTTAAGTATGGTTCAGACTACAGTCGAGTAATATCGAGTAAATTTTAGACCAATTCAGACTGGTCGAGTTAAAATCAATACAGTCGAGTACAGCTATAGGATATTTTAGACTTTTACAAGTTTGAAGTGCAGTGAATAAAAATCGATTAAAGAAAGTGTTATACAATGTGTTTGACACAATTTTTTGAATGTTCGTGTTTTAACGCTCTTCAACTTCGTATTTGATTTTGAATTCTAACTGTTTTAATTCCAGCGCGTCTTTTGAGCAAGAACCGCGTGTATGGCGTACCAAACTATCAGCTTGGTATCTTTGATGAGTTCTTGCTCTGATTTTTTAGACATGAAAAACAAATTTGCATATATCTACTAATTATAATTTCATTTTTGATCTCTATGTTGATGGTGAGAAATAAAATTGAACAATGAAATTAACAAAAATAATTACTGATTATAGCATCTTTGAAATAATACTGACACAGACGAAAAACGGACCCTAATTAATGATGGTAATTAGTCTCAACTTTTCAAATTTTCCTATATTAACAAACATTGGACACAATGTACGACATTTACTATACCGTCAGTTTTTAGGAGAATTATGGGACTTTCACAAATTTGATTTCCGTACCACAATGGTCCATTAATACCATTTGACAGAAATCTTTTATATTTAAAAGGATTTTTTTTTACCATATGTAGTTGTCAATTATATTGTACCGTAACTATGATTGGCCATTTTTACAGAAGTTCTAGGACTTTGACTTGTAGGTGACTATCCTACATAAGACACTTTATGAACGCAATCTTCTGATGTTGTGCTTTCATTCTTTGTAGGAATGTTTGCCATCATATATAATTGATCTTATTATATTGTCATGTTGATTAAACAATATCTTGCATGAGTTGTGAGATTTACTACAAAAGCTTGAAAGACACTGTTTAAAGTTATCTATGTTCCTGTTGTACAATTTTTCAAGTACAAATTTGTCTCATTAACAATGGAGTAGCAATATGGCTTTTGTTGTCAGTCTTATCGTTTTTTTGTCTGCTGTCATTGCATTTTTTTTATTTTGATTGGACTGTATCTTATCTCTCGTGAAGTTAGGGATATTCAATCATACCATGCTTTTTCAAAGAAAACACCTGTGTACTTATTTATTTCTATGAATTAGAAACACTATAGTGCCTCCTGGTTTAGATTATTAGAAACTGGATTATTATTTCCTAAGAATCTATTTACACAATATATCGCTTTTTGATATAGATTTAGAAACATAATTAATAGTTGATTAAACATGTAATTTTCATTTGATTTCATCTGTTATCCTCTTTTTCGGAAAATGCTGTCATATTGTACTGTTCCATATTAAAATGTTTAAATGACTAAGGTTCTTTTCTCCTATATTTGACAAACGCTTGGTATCGTTGGATCCAACGCTAGTTGAAAATGTTTTATTTGTCCTATAGATTTTTCGTAGCGTTATTAGCAGTTGCTATGGTTAGATATGTTCCTTCTTCTGGTGGCGAAATGTCAATCATAGGATTTAAATAATATTGTGTTGAATCTTGGTGATATTCGTCGGAAGATGAAGTACTATCACCACTCATAAAGGAACGGCCATGCACTTTCAAATTGTTTTCTAAGTTCTCTGTCTGATCAGTTGATAGTAATTGGCACGGGTTATCGTTGTTCTCAAAACCTTTGCTTTCACAACTCTCTCTGGTATTTGAATATTGTATAACATCAAGATAATTAGACGACATTTCCATTTGCATTTGCTGTATACGTCGGTCATCTAGTATATCTTCTTCATTAATAATCTCGTATAAACGGTCCGCTAATTCAATATTTTGGATTTGTTCTGGTATTGAAGAATTGTGTGTTTGGTTTATAGTTGCTATGTTCTTTTTGGTCAATGGTTTGAACTTGAAGAAAACAAAGCATAAACATATCCCGAAACCAATTACTAAAACTGATATAGCAGAGTAAACAATTATTTCTCTAGACAACAATCCTGAAATTATAATAATCAATACAGTGTATTCCTTTGCTGACTTTTTAATAATAAATCAAAATAGGTCTGATTTATGAAACTAAATCCGTCTTTTCAAACAGTTATCTATTTTTGCATCGGATAAAGATGAATAAACATAGAGAATTAAAAAAAACTCATTGTTTGAAAAGCAAATTGATATTATAAAGAAAAAGAAACAAAGTCACATCAACAGATAAATTTATCAAACAGCAAGTCATTTACAACAAAATGAAGCCAACCAATGCTTGGTACAGGCACTTTAAATTGTGCTGGCATTGCATTATCGACAAGTGTTTATCCAATGTATTGTCGTTGGACAATTTACTAAACCTACAAAACTGAATATGCATAATCGTCAATTCCGTGTGTGTTAATGAATACTACGTATATCTACAAAAGTTTACAAAAAATGTAAAAAGGACCTTGCTTATCTTGACGTAGAATATGAACTGATAAATAACATATATATTGTACCTTGAACACTACAATCTGTGATTTTTCCTTTTGTGTTTGCCTCGTAATGTGAACTCGTTATAGCTACAAACAAAGAGTTTCAGTTGCGAGGGCTGGTCTATAACGTTACGAATAATATCAGAATAAGTAGGCAGTGTAGTTTGTTTGTGTGTGTGTGTGTGCAACAAACCGAATAAACTATAAGCTGCTTAGATTGTGACTCATATATGCGATAAAACCCGGATTTGTTTTTATCTCTATCGATTTATGAGTTTCGAACAGCGGTATACTACTGTTGCCTTTATTTTGTACCAAATAAAGAGTATTACAGTTGTTTTTCAGTCGATCTGTTAGTTGATATAGTCGAGCATTTGATTGTGTCAGTATTTATGAACTTACTCTTTTCGAATTTACCTTAGAGTCCGGTAAATATATAAGTACATAGTTTCCACATTTATCAAAGACTCTGAGTGAGACTATAGATTTTTAGGTGAAGAAATTGTGTACCATTCCGGGTGCGGGATTTTCGCGCTGTGTTGAAGACCCATTGGTGGCCTTCAGCTGTTGTTAGCTCTTTTGTCGGGTTGCTGTCTCTCTGACATATTCCCTATTTCCATTCTCAATTTTATATAGCTAGTTGCTGTTTAAGAATTCTAAAATTTTTGCTTGAACTTATTTAATTCCACACGAGGCTATGTTCCTGTCAAGTAAGTATGTTATTCGCTCATTGTTTCTAAATTATCAGTGAAATAGATCGAAACAGCTTGACCTCCAGGGTTTGTTGTCCATCTTTTTCAACTATTCTGTTTTAACAATTATAATATACAGCATCACCAATCGTTTCGCAGTTAATATGACTATACTAAGTACCGTAGGTTGTGATTAAAACACGACGTTTTGGCGATGAAGTTTGCGTCTATAATCAAAAAATCTGGCAGCATATATTGTGCGAGCATGTAATCCAATTGTCAGGATGTCAAATAAAGCATATTCAGCATTTGAAATATTTTTGAACTGGTATCCATTGTTATATCACACGTCGAACTTTGAATAAACGCAAACACAAAGAAATAGAAAAGCATAAAGCAGACATAAGCAAATAATCCGATGAGGAGACGTCCGACGGTGCACAACTAATATTGACTATTATACACTGGTTAAAATTCCTACCATTCTTGTGTTTTCCTATGGCATACAGTCAATATTAATTACTTCAGACTTGAAAAAAAAATATATGGATTTCTTCTGTCACTATTTTTTGGAAACGGGATGATTCATTATCATAAATATGAATACTGTGACAATTTCCTTATTTGAACCAGAGATCGCCGTGATTAATATAATTATATATATATTATATCGATCAACTAGATCAGAAAACACGACAATGCTGTGTTAACGGAGGATTATGGAGACCACAACGAAAACTGGCGCATTATGCCTCAAAAATATAAGTTCAGATAAACATAATTACCATTTCCAGAATCTGCTCTTGTATTTATGGTCCATTTGTACGTTTTGTCATCTGCAACATTTACCAAAAGGTGAAGCATTAAATTACATTTTTATACGAATAAAAGGAGTTGAGGGGCATTTATCTAAGACACATCAGCTGAATGATAAACACAATTGTCTAGTGGTTTGTCGAAATAATCATAATAATTTTATGTATTGCCTTGTGGTTAAGATATGGATGTTTTGATAATTTCTGTTCACCGAGTGTTTTTTTTTTCACGATTGTGCCATTTTGGCTGAGTTTGGAATGGTTTGGCAGGTGATGCGCGTAGAACAGCACATGCTTATCCTGTCGTTGCTCCCAGTCTAACATTTTTGTGGGAATTTTGCGATTCCCAGAGTATTTGTTGTTCTTACTCGATTTATGCGACTATCTATGCGAACATCTATAAATTATTGTTGCCTTTATCTATGAAGTATATATATATATAAGAAACATAAATTTAATATAATTTTTTTAAGAAAGTAACTTTTCAATTTCTCTGAAGAGAAAAATCTTTGAAGACAGAAGAGATCCTTAATAAAAAATTTTACCACAAAAAACAAGACCTTTCAGGATGACTACACGATAGAGATATGAACTTTATTTCCTGTCCTCTTTGCAAATATGAGGAAGTTTTAAGTGACGCAGTGATTCAATATATTACGTACACGACGTTGCATACACTAAATAGTCAGTTGTTGGTAGAAATTCGATACAGCCTTCAACGTTGTCACAACTACAATAAAATGTTACAACATGAACATAAAAATGTAGGTACGTATACATTTTTTTTATCTTATTCAAAGGAACATGCTTTATACGTGTATGCTTGACATTTCAAATCATGCACACGACGTTGCATACACTAAATAGTCAGTTGTTGGTAGAAATTCGACACAGCCTTCAACGTTGTCACAACTGCAATTAAATGTTACAACATGAACATAAAAATGTAGGTACGTATACATTTTTGTTATCGTATTCAAAGGAACATGCTTTATACGTGTATGCTTGACATTTCAAATCATGCACATGACTGTTTTCCTGTCATCATTGTAATATCTGTATGTTTAAAAATTTGATTTCGACAAAGTATGGTAATAAAGTAGACAATTAAACTTAGCAGATATATGATTGCTATCTAGGATATGTTACTTTTTCTTGTATATTGTGTTTATAAATTTCATACATACGGCAAAAAATCGAATTTATTTTAAGCGTATAACTTACATTTCAAAACCTGCACAAGAACAGTCATATCGACATCTCTCACCATATGTGTTTTTCGGACAAGGTCTGCAGTTTTGTCCTATTTGTGATGTGTATCCAATGGGACAGGCTGTAAAATAAGAGGTTTTATCAATTTATGGCTGTTTGTCACTTCTACCTTTTTATAATACAGACTTTTACGGGATTCTGAAATAATTTCAACCGCAATCACTCTCCTACTTCAGAATCAACGATTTTCACTAGAACCCAAAAAGTACAATTTCAGTGGTACACATTCTGTTAAACGTGCCATATCTGTTAGCTTTGAATATATATATGATATGAAGGTAAGTGAGGTTGGTATCTGAAGTTTTTATTCGTGTAATAACCCCTTATTTTGCATAAACAAAAGAAACGTTAGGGGATTTGGCCAGGGATATATATATTTATAGTAATCAAAGAATAAAAATAATTGACGTCATAGCATAAGGGTATGAAATATGTGATGCAAACTTTATATGCTAAGTGCTCTTAGACTATGAGTTTGTTTTTGTAGATGTATTTGTAGATGTATTTGTTATTCATTTCTGTCGATGGTACCATTTACATTTATTTCCTATCAAAACAATTTGTGTGTGTCAAATTATACTGTTTTTCTCAATCGTTTATTATTATCGCACATTCTCTACCTTAGTTGAGATGTTTCCATCCTTAAAATTGAGGCTAAACAGTTGAATAGCAGGAGGTTTTAAACATTTTGGTCAAAATTTCGTTTAAGAACAAAATCACTTGTATTCATATCATAAAAAATCTGACCCTCCATTGTTTCAACTGAAAAATATATGTTACCTGGGTTGACAAATTACAGATAATACAAAACGTTTTACAAATGCTTATCAAAACTAAGTTGAGAACTATTTAACCAATGCAATCATTCCCTTTTTCTTCGTAATCTGCACAACATACCATTTTTAATTCACCACTAAAAAATGAAAATATTTTTAGCTTCTGCTTTTTAACTGTAAAATAAACTTGAAAGTTTTTACAATATTATAATCAGGTTGTTAACTTTCCTTTGTCAACTGAATTTCATTAGTTATCAGAGGACCTTCATACCTTATTATATGGTATTAGTTTTGTTCATTGTTGAAGACCAGACGATACAATGCAGTTGTCTAAATCCTTGTCCGTCTGTCTTAGGTGAATTGTTTCCCTAACTTGGTAATCATACCACTTTTGATGATTTTCATTTTTTGTTATCATTTAGCTACAAAGCTTTTATCGTGTATATTGAAATACCAAAATATAGGCATCAATCTAAAATGTTTCCATGTCACACTTTTAAAATTTGACATTTGAAGATCCCATATGACCTTTACCTTATACAATATTTTAATTATGACCCATGCTTATATAAGCACTAAATGTATATCATCACTCATAATTTCCGGAGTTCATTTGGGAATTTTGAAAGGTGAACTATAAAATGCATAGATTCAGGGACTTTATATTTATGCAAATATAAAGTCCCTGATTGATTCAAATACCACAATTGGTCATTAATATAAGATTTCAAATAACATATCCATATCAGATATGTAAAACATACCCCAAATCAATATAAAGCTATGAAAGAATACATATCTATTTAGAATATCATTAAAAAGTAGTGTCATATTTATATAAAATCTCGCAAAATTATGACCCATATTTCGACATATCAACGTATACCCATTAATAGGAAGTTACTTCCCCCTTCATGGATATTAGACTACGTGCAGCTTTACAAGACTTTAGATATACCTTGAAAGTTTAATGTTGATAATTCCAAGTTTAAAGTTGATAATTTCAAGATTAAAGTTGGAATTTCCAAGTTTAATGTTGGAATTTCAAGATTAAAGTTGAAATTTCAAGTTTAATGTTGAAAATTTCAAGTCTAGAGTTGATTATTCTAAAATTAAAGTTTTTCTTGTATGCCTATCAAGGCGGTTATTTGACTAATCAATTGTACTTTTTATCTCAATTTCAAGCATTGATTCCATTAAAGTTCATTTTTGGAAAAAATATCCCAATGATGAAAGTCTCGCGTATCGGTCAGCTAGATCAGAACGCATGAAAAAACGGTTGAACCCAAAACTACAAACGAATGATGCTTCATCTTACAATATTTCGCGTAAAAAGTCTCCATTTCCACAATCTGCTTGTTTGTTATTGAATAAAGTGTGTCATAAACAAAATTGAAAAAAAAAACAAAAAAAAAAACTAATGTATAGATTATAAGCCGTTGTGTATCATACATAAACGACACATCAAACTAATGATACAAAAAATATATGTAGTGGTATGTCGATATAAAAATATTGTTTTTAATTTGGGTTTTCAACAATTAACTAATGTCAAAATAAACGGTCAGTGTTCTTTCGTAGAACATTCACAACAATTTACAAAAGAAAAGCTTGGAAAGACACAGGAACGTCTTCAGTACTGTAACCAGAAAGTAGACCTGAAAGTGGAAATGAACATTTCATAAGAGAGCTACACAACTATGAGGATGGAGAGATATATGTTGGGTACAGACAAAAAGGTTATAATTTTGTTTTTGTTTAACAGATATTTGAAGTTACTGGTATCATCTGTTTGTTCGTTATTTAACATGTTACTTACCAGACGTTGCATACACTGAGATAACAGTTGTAGATGATATTTTAACACAGCCATCAACGTTGTCACAGCTGCAATCAAATTTTACAGAGTTACATGAACAATTTCTATCGCCGTATCTCATTCAATATGAAAAACTACGGATACGTTGTATGATTGCCCATGAGTCATTTGTCGGCCAAAGACCAACGGCCGAGATTATAAAAAAATACAAGTCACACTACGTTTTTCAACAATAAATACCTAATAACAAGCCTTTAAAGACCCCTTTTTGATACTATATATTTGAACCTTAAGATTGTAAGTTTCATGTTTTAACATGATCGTTTTCATTAACCGTCAATATTGTAATAAGTGTACTTTTACAAGATTGTTTGTACTTGATATGCTTATGTTAGGTAGACAATTCAACTGAGTATTTATAAGGGTCGCCATTTGATACTGAAAATTAAACAAATGTTTGCGAAGTTTTTATAAATGCGAATAATGCGACTGGTTGAGTGTCGCAATAATAAGAATTCGCATTTATATATCTGATACATATATCTTTATGCAGATTTTTCAAAAATCGCAATAATAAATGTTTGCAATAATGTCTGAATTTACAGTATTATTGCCTAATTTGTAATCCAAAATCATGTTTCTAAAGTTTGAATATCATAAAACAAGACATGCATGTACTTTATCTTACATACACTTGAAAATCCAAGCAAGAACATTCAAATCGACATCTTTCGCCATATGTGTTTTTAGAACAGGGCTTGCAGTTTTGTCCTATATATGACGTGTAACCCTTGGAACACGCTGTAAAATAAAATATTTAACCCATAATATTAATGTGACTTTATGAAGTAATTACAACTGACAACCCTTTACCTTTTTACAAAGCAGAATCCCAAAATGAAATTGTGCGCAATGTCTTTTTTACTTTTTAACACATTGTATGATAATGTACTCATATAACTGCACAGCCATTTCTGTCAGAACTAGGACGTTTAAACCGATGCCTCGTGTAATGATAGTGCCAAGCCCTATGTACGTTAAGGACCCATGCAAGAACTCTTTGGGGATTCCGTAGGTGGTCTGTTGCAAGGTTAATTATAACATCATTTTGTATTTCTTGTTAGTTTTATTTATGTTCGTTCTGAACATGCATGAAACATTTTCCATTGGAAGTAAAGCAAACAACAACCAAGCTATCAATCTCACGAAGCATATGTAAAAAAAAACACTTTATAAATATCATTCGACCAATGCGATTTTCTGGATTTTTTCTTTATCATTTGTGATGGTAATCCTGCATAACGTATACCCCTACATAGAGATTGACTGTCGTCGAGTTGTCACATAATATTTATTTGTTTGCCGCCAATCATAATGGTCTGTTAAAACCCTAGGTAAAACTGACAAGTAAAGGTTATATTTTAATGAACCATTGACCGACGAGAGGTCTACAACTCTGACCAATGTGCAGGCAGTGCCAAAATGTCACAGAAGAAATGATTTCAATCCTGCAAAAGTCACGACAAAATTTTAAACAACAAATATGCAGATCAAACATTGTTGGGATTATTGAACCAAAAATTATGTAACTCCTGAATCAATACCTCGGTTGTCTCATGATCGGTTATCGTCTCCGACAAACGGTGCATGGCTATAGTGCGGACGATCATGTGTTCGATTCAAGGCTGGTTAAAACATTATACTTTAAAATAAGTATATCCCCAAAGCGCATGGGATTTACCAGTATGACTGTTCGGCTCCGGGAAAAAAGAATGCCTCTTAGGAGTTTTAAATGTCTGTTATAGTCTTTTCCATCGTAAACTACCACATAAAAATGTTGATTTTGGATGAAGAATGTTGAATATTCATATTTTGTATTTGCCACTGCACGTTCAGCAATCATCAATCTTTCGAATTTCGAAAGACATGGTTATTTTCAAAAAAATACCTTTAAACAAAAAAAAATCCCGATGAAATGTTAAATAGTTCTACTCAAATCGCATTCATCACAGTTAACATTGACTAAAAAACAAAAGATTTGCAAAAAAATTAATTGAATGTTATACAGTGTTTTTATTTTATCGTCAATATTGCGGCTACATAATTGAGAAAGATATCACTTAAACTTGAGTTGAAACATAATTTCATTTATCTCAATAAAAACATTAGACCTTTTAATCCTCTATTTTGAAATATGTATATGTGTAAAAATTGTATGTATTTCATATATTTTACAGGATGCGCAAAATGCAAATCGTTTGGCACATAAGATGAATACGTGACGACTTACCCATGCAATCATTTTCTCTTTTTTCATAATCGGGACAACATACATCTTTTAATCTATACCTGAAAGAAAATAACACAAATCTCTGCTTCATTTCCAGCTTTTGTCTTGTTTACATCCTCATCTTTTTTACTCTGATAGATACATGGTCTTATTGACATTCC